AGGAAGGCCTGGGCCACATCTGCGTGGTGGTCGTTATCTCACAGCACCTGGGGCAGGAGGGACACAGGAGGGATCTCAGCAAACAGTTCCCATTAGCTTCACCCCCTCCTCTTTGGACCCGGGCCCTTTCTGCCCAATCACAGGAAGGGGGCTCGGCCGCTCCAGAGTCCCACTTCCGCTGGAGCCAATCAGACAGCACCGCCGCTTCGCCCCGCCCCGCCCCGCCCCCCTCAGCACGTGTGAGCACAATCAAAGCTTGCCTCCGTTAAACCTCTTTATTTAGGGTAAGACAAAAGAAATGCAATGCGGCTGTGGGCCAGTGAAACCCTGAGTGGTTGAAATGTGACTTTTGCATCTTTCCACATGTCATCTGGTTCTGTTCCCGAGGCGCCTATGAATACCCTTCCCCGATATGGGCAGGCATGGACCGAGGTGGGCCAGGCTTCCATGCCTGCCCTTCCCCAGAGCGGGACAGTGGGCTCCTGACTGATGAACCGCAGTCAGCTTCGCTTCCAAGCTATGTCAGATAGTTTTATTTGTTTATTTGGGCCACACCCAGCGATGCTCAAGGGTTACTCCTGGTTCTGTGCTCAGGAATTACTCCTGGCAGTGCTGGGGACCATATTTTATGTCAGGACCTTAACCCAAATTGGCAGCGTGCAAGGCAAATAACCTTCCCTGTTGTACTATCACTCCAGCCCCCACAGTTTATAAGATAAAATGTTTTCCTGATGCCCTGTATAAAGCATTGAGACGTAGAACAAATCTCCACAGCTGACCATCAGCTTTTTGCCCCATTTTATATTTCTTGAAAAACCCTTTCTTTTCCATTAATAATCTTTATTGAGTCTCTCAAATATCAAACCTGTACAAACAAATATGCAGATGCCAGTGGAAGAAGGTAGGATGGGTCTGAAGGGAACAGGGTGGGACTGAGTTGTCTTTTTTTTTTTTAATGTTGGGGGCCACAACAGGTGGTGCTCAGGAATCACTCCTGGCAGGGCTGAGGGCCAGATATGACTGTGACAGAACCCAGGTTGGTCTGCAGCATGCAAGCCAAGCACCTTACCTGTTATACTATTGCTCTGGCCCCCTAGGGTCTCGTTTTTAGAAGAAAACTGCTCTACAGTTCACTGAGAGGTACACAACTCCAAGTAGTCGTAAAAAAAAAAAAATCACAACTGCAAGATCTACCTGGGTAAACTGCATGCCACGTATTTATATGCTATATAGGATAACATGTTTTACTCCAACAAAACTGATTAAAAAAAACATATACCAGGTACTGGTCACCTGTATCAGGATATATTCTTCTCTTTTAGTTTTTGGGCCACCAGCAAGCAAGGGTCACCCTGGCAGTTGAGCTGGGCCCTCCAGTATGCAAAGCATTCACTCCAACTGCTGATAGCTAGGTTCAGCACCTACATTAGCCCAAGGCAAGATCTCCGAGGTGGGTCCAAGGGATGAACCACAGTGCACAATAGCACGACTGGGTGTGGCAGAAACCTCAGCTCTCCTTTCGGGAATCTTCCTATCTTCCATTTCCCACCCATATAATCAGCTACTGTTCCCTACATTCCCAGCATTCCAACTAATTCAGTGTCGGGGCTGGAGCAATAGCACAGTGGGTAGGGCCTTTGCCTTGCACGCGGCCAACCCGGGTTCGATTCCCAGCATCCCATATGGTCCCCTGAGCACCGCCAGGAGTAACACCTGAGTGCAGAGCCAGGAGTAACCCCTGTGCATCGCCAGGTGTGACCCAAAAAGAAAAAAAAAACTAATTCAGTGTCTGCCACCCTCCTCAGCCTGTCTGATGCAGTGCTGGCAGCACAATCTGACTAAGTGGGACCAAATTAATCCTGTGGCCAGCAAATAAGAGGCTCTGACCCATAAGGGGTCCTAAAGCTACGATGGTGAAAAGGACAAAGTGCAGAATAAACTCCCTGCCACTCTAGGCAAACAAGGTCACAGATTTGCAGACAACTCACTCACAGCTGCTTCCCAGGGACAGAATAACATGCAGCTTGTGAGGGGTGGGAGGAGTGTTAGGTGGTAAAGGTGACCATGTGTGCCAGTTCCAGTTATCCTCTCACCGATGTATTTCTTTAGCATGATAGACTTGGGCTGGAGCAATAGCACAGTGGTAGGGCGTTTGCCTTGCATGCAGCTGGCCCAGCCAAGCCGGGTTCAATTCCTCTGCCCCTCTCAGAGAGCCCGGCAAGCTACCAAGAGTATCTCGCCCACACAGCAAAGCCTGGCAAACTACCTGTGACGTATTCAATATGCCAAACACAGTAACAAGTCTCATGATGGAACACTACTGGGCCCACTCAAGCAAATCGATGAACGGGAAGACAGTGACTTTATATTTGAGGTGACATTATGAGAATCCTAAATTGTCCTATTATATTGGGCTGGAGTGATAGCACAGCAGGTAGGGCGTTTGCCTGGCCTAGAGTTCGATTCCTCGTATTCAATATGCCAAACACACACAATAACAATTGTCACATGGAGATGTTACTGGACCCGCTGGAGCAAATCGATGAACAACTGGAAGACAGTGACAGTGATAGACTTCCCTGAACCACAACTAAAATGGGATTTATCCTCTCCTCAGGAATTCAGGCTGTGGCCAGAAGCATCAACATTTTTTCAGCAACTGTGCTAGATTATTCCTTTATGAGTCTGGGATGTGTGGTATTTAGGTATGACAGAAATAACCAAGGCCCATTTCTCTAGAGACGAGCTTTTCCTTCCTATGTGGGTTCAAGCCTGTCTTCATGGCTTTAAGGAAGCCAGATGCCCCAGACTCACTGTTGTCACCTCCATCTCAGATCATCCTCAAACCAAAAGCAAATCCTACTAGTTCTGGCTGGAACTGAGGTTGTCACTGCAGAGTCCATAACTCTAATGATTGTACCCTGGGAACAGTTCATAGTAGATAGCCAAGTCGGTACTGGGAGACAATCTTGAGATAAAACAGACCAAAAGCAGCCCTGTCACCAGCTTGCAAGCTTGCAGTGTCACCCTGAAGCAGTAGGTCATCTTACATGCCCGCCAGTAACAGCAGCCACTTCCAACTTGGCCAATTCAACATGTGGGCCCGTGACTGCACCTTCATCCCCTGGACACTGTAGACCCATTTCATCAGTTTCCTGTGGGCCCCATCTTACAAGGCACAAGCTCATGGATATAACAATTTTACTATGAACAGAGTATTTTTCTTTCAAGTTCAGACTTCGTTGCTATTGTTGGAGACACACCTGGCAGTGCTGATGAGTGGGAGGTACAGTACTGCAGGTCAAATCCTGGACCCTTAACAAATCCAAAGCAAGTGCTGTTCCACTGGGCCACTCATCCCTGGCCCCCACCAGCTGGGATGATGGACCTTGAGCACTTCTGCACCCCGTCCACTTGCCGCATGTAGTTGGAAAATGAAACTCTTCCTTTTCAAACTCGGGTAGTGTATGTGATGCTTGGGGTCACTGCTTGTCAGGACCACCCATGGGTCCTTCAGACAGCTGCCAGGGGCAGGCACGCTTCCTAGGGAACTCAGGCTTTACAGTTCTTTTTCTCTCATCCCAAGTTGAAATTCATATTCTTGAAAAGCTTTAATTTTAAACTGATATTGCAGTTTCTTCCATTCTCTAATGGAAGAATCCTAAAATCAACCTCCACCTCCCACCTTACAAGGCAGTGTTTATTTTTACATACATTTAAGAAACACATAATACAAATTTTAATTTAATAATTTAGAATATTACAGAAATTTTAAATGGGTAAATCTGGTCTTGAGTAGGAAACATAAAAGTAGTTGTGTTAATGTGTACCTGTTGTGTATCTGTTACACTTCCCTGCAAATCAGTCTATGAAGGAACACACATTAATGGCACACATCTCCTACTCAAACTCAAGATTCCCAATATATCTATGTTAAATATAAATGATGAATTTGGCCTGTATTTATATACTACAAAATAAAAAGCAACACATTTAAAGCACCTTATTTATACAAGCCAAATTTTTACCAACTAATATTTTAGGGCCATACCCAGTGATGCTCAGGGGTTATTCCTGGCAGTTAGGAATTACTCCTAGCAGTGCTTGGGATGCCTGAATTGAACCTAGGTCAGCCAAATAAGTGCCCTTCTCAACCAAGTATACTGTCACTTTCACACCACTTTTAAGGTTTTAGCCAGTACCACCGGATGCATAAACTTGTTGTACAAAATGCAACTCATTTGACTACTAAATATTGAATAAAGATCTAAGAGGCAAGGAAAAAATCTTAGTGGGTCAGTTGTCTATTTCTTTGCTTTGGGACCACACCCACCTCAGGGCTCAGGGGCTGCTCCCAGAGGATTATAGACTGTCCCTCAGGGAGCAACCTCTGAGCACCAAGCCAGGTGTGGCCCCAAAACAAAAAGAAATAGATGATCCACTAAGATCTTAACTAAAGGCCAAGTGAAAAATCAGCTTTGATCAGCTGAGATTCCACAATCAAGGATTTGTGGAGACATGCATGACGAACCATCACTCACTTCTGGGCACAGGTTACCAGCCGGCACAACTTGCTTAATTTCTGATTTTGAGGTGGAAGTTCCACTCTCCATTTCTTATTTCACATCATTCCATATTGCCCCCCATCCCACAAAACACAACTGCCCACAGGGTACCACAGCTGGCACATACCTGCATGGACCATCGAAATAACATTAGCGATTACAGTGTACTTCAATTATTTCAAGGAAAAAAAATCTTAGCAGGCATTTCACTGTTTTTGGTCAAGTAAAATCCAACTTGCTCCAAATCCAGATAACGTAATTCTGCTTTGAAGCAGTGAGACCAATACACCTGTGACCATTGCCTGTGACCCTGTAAGAGTCTTGGTAATGGGCCTTGCATGTGGTCTACCTGGATTCAATTCCTGTCACCACAATGGTCCACCAAACTCAGCAAAAGTGACCCCTAAGCTGGGTATGCCTCACAGAAAACATAACAAAAAGTCCTAAACTACAAAAACATACAATGACCAAAATGGTTTTTTGTTTAAAAAATGCACCTTGGTTCCTTTAGAAGTCTGCATCCAAGGTAAAAGAATTATCTGTTGGACTTGACATCACTCCCATCCTCTGATACTCGCCTACTCTCTTCTCAAAGAAGTTAGTCTTCCCTTCCAGCGAGATATTCTCCATGAAGTCAAATGGATTTTCTACTCTGAAAACCTGCAGAGGTTTACAGCAAAATATAAATACAGAATACCAGTTTCCGAAGAATGAGAGGGACATGAAAACATTACTTTACCTTGCTAAAACCCAGCTCCAGCAAAAGTCTGTCAGCCACAAATTCAATATACTGTTTCATCAATATGCAGTTCATCCCAATGAGATTCACAGGCAAGGCCTCAGTAAGGAACTCCTAGGGACCAAAGTATAAGGTATTCTCAACAAAACAGAAGTCCAGAGATGGGTCCTTCAGCAAGCAGGAAATCTTTTATAGGTTACCTGTTCTATTGTAACAGCACTGAGGATTATTTCTTTTACTCTCTGCTCTGAAGGTTTGTGTATTAGATGTTTGAACATCAGGCAAGCAAAGTCACAGTGTAAACCCTGGAAGAAAAAGATTTCAGATCAGATAAAACCAAGACTTCTATCATTAACACAGATGAGGAAACAGCTTTGTTAGCACTCTCCTTATAGATCTTACTTGGCCAAATTAATTAGACAATTGAAGGGAAAAGAACTTCAGCTGCTGAGCAGGTACCCAGGGCCTTCTTATACCACATAGATGATAAACACAACAGGGCAGGGCTGGTCCTCCCTAATATGTTGTAAAAGACAAGGCTGGGAGCTCTCAGTGCTAATCTTATTACTTTCCTGCATCTCCCCAGCAGGGAAGGCAAAATTTAGTAGTCAAATTTTTATTTCAAGGATACACCCAACCTTGCTTTGGGCTTATTTCTGGCTCTGATCTCAGGGACCACTCACTCATGGTAGGGTTCTGGGGGCCATATCCAGGTCAGCCACATGCAAGGGAAGTGGTCTGCCCACTGTATCACAAGCTAGTGCTCAGAAAATCAGTAATGCAATTTTACATATTTATAAGCCTGAGTGCCCAATAGCCCTGAGAGTTCTCCACAAGAAGGAAGATCGTCCTAACAAGGGAAGATCAACTACGTTGGTTGATCCAGCTGTGCTCCAAGTAGAGAGGCTCCCTGCCTTTCAAAAGAAGCTTACACTAGAAATCAGGGCACCATTCACCTTCCTATAAGGTAGAAATAATAAACATACAATGGATCAGAATGTGTTCTCATTATCTGAGTATCCACATTCTTAGCAACTTTAAAGTTGCAACATCCTGTAAAGCACCACATGTCTAAATCTGTTTCTCTAATAAGACAAGTAAAATGGCTTCAGTGAATTCAAGTGTTTCCTATTGCCAATTCATGTTGAATTCACGTGTAAATGTAGAGCAATCTGTTATCTAGGTGTCACGTGCCACTGAAAGTAGACTCACCTCATCCCTGCTAATAAGTTCATTGGAAAATGTGAGGCCAGGCATCAGTCCTCTTTTTTTCAGCCAGAATATCGACGCAAAAGAGCCAGAAAAGAAGATCCCTTCCACTGCCGCAAAAGCCACGACACGTTCTCCTGTTTAGGAGTTAGTATCAAGTTATTGTCAAGAACTAATTTTCATGTTCCTAGGCAGCATGAACAAGCCTATGAGAACACGTAGAAAAGGCTCAGGAATAAAATTGGACTAAAAGCATCCTTACCATAGGTAGCCTGTCTATCTCCAATCCAACGCAAGGCCCAGTCCGCCTTCTTCTTGACACAAGGCATTGTTTCAATAGCATTGAAGAGATATTCCCTGCAGGTACACAGAACATTAGCAAACACAACCCAGACCTACCACAAGTTTCTAAGAGACCTGGGACCAAGGCTAAATTGGGACTCAAATTGAAATGTTTAATGGCTTCCTTTATTCTAATGCCCTATAAAGTCTCAACATCCATTTGTTTTCATGCAAATCTAAATGCTTTGTTTAATAAGAAACAAGGCATTTATATTACATTTAGGCTACATTCTGAGAAACTGTCCTTAAACTTTTTCTTTGTGGGAGTCAGGGTTATTACAAAAACCTAGATTTATAGCTGACTACACTCACCTAGGCTACATAGAGGCCACTGTCATTTGTTTGTGGAAATGGCACTATGCAGCCATATCCACTAAATTCTAATTCATATTGAGCACCCAAATCTACAACCATAAAATTCTTAGTCTAGGGGTAGGAGCAATTGGACAAGGAAGAGGAAGGGTGTTTGCCTTGAACAATTCCTGGATGCAGAGCGAGGAGTAACCCTGAGTATTGCCAGGTGTGTACCTCCTCCCCCCATCACCAAAAAGCAAAATACAAACGACCTCTTAGTCCATTACATCATTGAGTATGAACTGGCTCAATCATTTCATTTAGTGAAATGATGGGAGTCAACAGGCCCTGGTAGCTTCTTTAACCGTGAACCAGTGTTACTACCTCCATCTGCTGTACTATCACTCCAGCTCAAAAGCACTTTTAAAACTACCATTTCAGCCAAGCTGCTGTGCGCCTCAATTAGTATCAAGGTTCACTGCTGCATCTACATTATTTGAGGTTATTTTCTGTTCTAGAACAGGTTCTGTTGAGATAAAACTACTTCTATTTTGCATCCTGTACTCAACTCTTCATCCCACCCCAGCCTCAGATCTGCTTGGAGTAGAGGTTAGACCCAGAACTCAGTTCATCATACAGAGCCTCTAGGGACTCTAGGGATTTTTTTCAAAGACTTTAGATGGGTTGTTCAATGAGATAGATACCTCCACCTCCAAAACTGACACAACCTCACAGCTTTTCATTGACTGGAGACTTAAGGTGATTTAAAACCTCTTCCTCAGGGCAGACATAACACGGCCAAGGTATCTCCGATATTTTACGTCTCTTTTCTACCCATGTGAATTGAAAAACTGGCATTACAGGAGGCGTCATTAGGACAGAGGACACTCAGGTGTTGAACTGGTGTGTGCATGTAATTTATCCTGAAGCAATATAGTTTATGGCACTCCATAAAAATAAGAAAACCCTGGAAATGAAGTCTCTAGTGACTTGGTGCACCCAAAATACATTCAAGTACTCACCTTTCTTTGGAATCTTTAATGTAAGTATCAATGAGGAGACTGTACATTTCAGAGTGAATGTTTTCCATGGCAATTTGAAAGCCATAGAAACAGCGGGCTTCTGTGATCTGAACTTCTTGGCTAAACCGCTCGACCTAGTGATGAAAAACAAAGTTCAGCCTGAAGAAGCCCTGTCCTCAGTATCTGACAGTTTTTGCCTACTCCCACCACAGACACAATTTACAGTTCAGAGAACAGGCTTGCCTCTATTTTTGTGTGAGTTCTGTGAACACTCAATTCATTTTTTTTTCTTTTTGGGTCACACACGGTGATGCACAGGGGTTACTCCTGGCTCTACACTCAAGATCGACTCAGAGAGAGGTGCTCAGAGAGACCCTATGGAATGCTGGGATTCAAACCCAATCTGCGCTGTGCTATTGCTCCAGCCCCGACTCAATTCATTTCATTCCTGACTTATCATCCTGGGTCGGAGGACGCCTGCCCCTCTGAACCAACCACAGGCTTGCTGGGGAGCCAGAGCTCACCAGGTTCTCATTAACAATGCCGTCGCTGGCGGCGAAGAAAGCCAGGATGTGCGAGATGAAGAACCTCTCGTCTTGCTTGAGGGCGTCCCAGTGCTGGATGTCCTTGGAAAGGTCCACCTGGGGGTTGGGGGAGATCACGGGGAGTCGCGTTGAGGAGGCAAGGATGGAGAACCCATCAGCCCGGAGCTCCCCTGATGCAGAAACCGAGCTCCCTCCCCTGACGCGGAAGCCGTTGCCCGCCACAAGCAGCACCTCCTAGTGGGCGCAGCGGCGCAGGCGACTCGGCGGGCGCGTTGGAACTCGCGGGCTCCACATGCCCCCTGGCGGCCGTGCTCCCCGACACCCCGACAGACACCCCGCATCCCCGCATCGCTCTCTACCTCCTCGGCAGTCCAGAAGGACGCCTCGGCCTTCTTATACATCTGCCAGATGTCGTGGTACTCGATGGGGAAGACGACGAAGCGCCGAGGGTTCTCTCGCAGCAGGGGCTCCACGGCGTCGGCGGCTTCGGGGGCCGGCACCTTGGCTTTCTGGTGGGGAGAAGGGAGAGGGTCGGAGGGTCTGGGGAGCGGGACACCCCATCCCGCCCGCAGCAAGCGAGGGTCCACAACAGGGTCCGGCGGGCGGGCGTACTACGGGGGGCGGGTCGGGGTGCCCTTGGCGGGAAAGGGGTAGGCGGCGCGAACGCCTCACACACACAATACGATTTTGGCGCGCAAATCCCGTGGCGCGCTCCCTCACGGAGAACCCCTCAGAATCCCTTCACGTAGTTCCCTCAGGGAAGCCACGGAGTCCCCTCAGGGAGCCACGGAATCCCCTAATAGTGCCACCGAGTCTCCTCAGGGAGCCACTGAGTCACCCCATAGAGCCACGGAGTCCCCTAATAGAGCCACCGGGTCCCCTCAGAGAGCCACAGGGTCCCCTCAAAGAGCCAGAGTCCCCTCATAGAGCCAGAGTCTCCTCAGGGAGCCACTGAGTCCCCCCCATAGAGCCACGGAGTCCCCTAATAGAGCCACCGGGTCCCCTCAGAGAGCCACAGGGTCCCCTCAAAGAGCCAGAGTCTCCTCAGGGAGCCACTGAGTCCCCCCCATAGAGCCACGGAGTTCCCTAATAGAGCCACCGGGTCCCCTCAGAGAGCCACAGGGTCCCCTCATAGAGCCACCGAGTCCCCTCAGAGAGCCAGAGTCTCCTCAGGGAGACAGAGTCTCCTCAGGGAGACACTGAGTCCCCCCCATAGAGCCACGGACTCCCCTAATAGAGCCACCGAGTCCCCTCATAGAGCCACAGGGTCCCCTCATAGAGCCACCGAGTCCCCTCACAGAGCCAGAGTCCCCTCAGAGAGCCACCGAGTCCCCTCAGGGAGCCACCGAGTCCCCTCACAGAGCCACAGGGTCCCCACATAGAGCCACAGGGTCCCCTCATAGAGCCACAGGGTCCCCTCACAGAGCCACCGGGTCCCCTCAGAGAGCCAGAGTTCCCTCAGAGAGCCACCGAGTCCCCTCACGAGCCGCCCTCATCGACTCTGGCCCTTCTGGCGTCCCCCTCACGAGCCCTCCTCAGCTCAGCGTCCGCCTCTGGGGATCCCGGGGTCCGTCCGGGGTCCTCACCGGCTCTTCCGACTCCTGCAGGATCCGTCTCGCCGTCTTGCTGGCCAGCACACGGGTGGCGCTGAGGCTCGGGGGCTGCGGGAGGGAGACGCTCCGTGAGGCGGGAGTATGGGGACGCCGAGGCGGGGTCGGGGAGGGCCACCCTGGTCTCCCTCCCGTCGCCACCCCGGCCGCCGCCCGCCCACCGTGTTCTCCTTGTCGGCCAGGCTGAGCTTCTTGAGGGGCGACGTGCGCAGATGAGGGGGCCGGCTGTTGTCGGCCAGCGGGGTGAGCGGCGCACGAGGGAGACGAGTGACGGAAGTCATGGCGAGGGACGCGGGTTCCGAAGCGTTGGGTCCGGCCGAGGGAGACTATGGGGATGCGCAGGGGTCCTGGCGGGCTCCGACCACGCTTCTTAAGAGCCCGCGCAGGGGCATGGCGGGATTTTTCGGGGCGGAGCGAACGTGCTCGCCCCCGAGCGCGCCAAGGTAAGTTCGAACTCGGGCGGGCTCGTGCCCGGTATCCCCAGACCCCATCCCCGGATGCTGCGCCGAACCCGGCAGGTACCATGGGCCCCGTTAAGAGAGCGATGGTCCCAGGGATTCCCACCAGCCCAGAGATGAGCTCCCTACTGCCCCCCAAGGTTCGGGACGGCGGGATGGTGGACGCGGGACGGGGACGCGGGCGCGCGAGTGCGCGCGCTTCGGAAACCCGCCGCCCGTTGGTCATTGGTTGAGACCACGTCGTTCCCGCCAGCCTCGAAGTTAAAATTAAGTCCAACCCCCTAACCCGCTCCGAAAGCCGGGAAAAAGTGGCGGGTTTCCGCAGTTTTGGCCGCAGTCGGGGAAGGGGAAGGGGATGCTTGGTACCAGGTACCCCGGGAACGCGCGGGCGACCCGGCGGTGGGGGCCGGTGAAGGTGCATCCCGGATGGGGTAAGTGCCCTCCACGGCGCGTTTGAGCCCCTCGAGGGAAGCCTTGCACTTGGGGGAATGATTGTAAATTAGGGGCAGAAGACCCAGGAAGGTTGACACACACGCCCTGGGTGCGGTTACCTTCCCCTGAGCCTAGAACCAGGAGTAGCCCGCAAGGTGTTGCCCTAAACCGACCTACCTCCCCCTCCCCACCCGGAGGTCATATGTGAGCACGGTTGGGGATCAAACCTGGGTTTACAGGACCAGAGCGATAGCACAGTGGGTAGGACGTTTGCTTGGCACGAGGCTGACTGGGGTTCGATTCCGAGCATCCCATATGGTCCCCCAAGCACCACCAGAAGTAATTCCTAAGTGCAGAGACAGGAGTAACCCCTGAGCATCGCCAACTGTGCCCCCCCCCAAAAGAACCCCAAACCTGGGTTTACTGTGTGCAAGGCAAGCAAGTGTCCCCCCACCCCTCCTAGCTACAAATGAGGATTTTTTTGAGGGGCAGTTTCCCACTGAAAGTGTCTGCACACAGCCTGAAAGCTCAAAGAATGAATGAATGAATGACTTGGACTTGGACTTCATTACTCTGTGGGCATCAAACCACCTAGGAAAGAGTTTGAAATCTATGGTCCAGGATATAGAGAGATATAAACTAGATATACAAGGATATAAACAAGATATACATACTGGGAACATTGGTGGTGGAGAATGGGCACTGGTGGAGGGAGGCACTCAATCATTGTGTGACTGAAACATAATCACGAAAGTTTGTAAGTCTATAGCTGTACCTCATGGTGATTCATTAAAAAAAAATTTTAAATGAAAAAAATAAGTAAACAAGACATACAGAGATATAAACTTTTAACTAGGTTTCCATTTGTGTTTAGTTTTCCAGAACTCCTCAAAGAGGCCTGCTTTGCAAGTAGAAGTTGGCCAGGAACGAATATTTAACCTGGTCCTAAAAAGTCCCAATAGCTACTAACTATTGTCAGGGATGTCATCAAGTCACTAAATTTGGGGTCTCTGTCAGATATAAAGCATTACAGAGGCGGAGGTGGGGAAGACAAGGAAGACACTCACTAGTTCCAGCTTGCACTTCCTAAAATTCCTATGGCATTTTAGGCTTACTTCAACGCCTTGTTCTCCCTGGAACATATCTCTCACTTGCTTGACTCTGTCTCTTTGCATTTTCCACTCTGGAGAAGCCCACAGATTCTCTTGAACACATACTTCTCTTTTTTCCCCCTCACATCTCAGCAAGTTTCACTCACTAAAAACTATGTTGCTTCACTATGGAAGAAGGGAAAAAAAGTCCTACTTGGCATTCTTAAGTATGTTCCAGTCCTTGCCAAGAGTGACCTCTGAGTGCAGAACCAGGAGTAAGCCATAAGCACTTCCGGGTATGGGCCCAAAGACTCCAGAGAAAAAAAAGTAAAAATATGCTCAAGCAAGATGGCCAGCGATGCTCACAGCTGGATCACATTCAGCACAGAGAGCGCACCATTTAAAAGCTTTGGTTTACTGCTTATTTTAAATAAAAGCAACTCCCAGCATGGTCATTTTCCACTTTCCAGCTCCAGAAAAGGGACCCTTATTCAAGAACTACTCTGGGGTTGAATGGACCATTATCGAACCTGTCACAATTGCCCTGGTCGCATTCCAGTCCCCCCCCCCCCCCCACACACACACCACCATGCAAGGTTCAATAACTGATACCCCCAAATGTCTAACTGCTGGACAGCCATGGTGGCGGCGCTTTAGGTTGGACTTTTACAAGTGCTACGTTTCCCCCTCCACCCACCAGTTGGAAATCTGGCGCCAAAAGGCAGAAGAGGCGGCACTTTTCCTTCCTCCCACCTCCCATCTGAGTCAAAGGCATAAGCCCGGCCCCTGCCCCTGCCCCGGTGGTTCTTACACTGTCGCCGGAAGGAAAGAGCGGCTATGTGATTGTGCCGGACAGGTCCCGGGTCCTCCAGGACACGCCCGAGCTTCGGGTTCCCTGCTGCCTCTTCATCTGGGGTGCCTCGGGGTCGTCGTAGCAGAAGGGGGCTCTGTGCACCCGACCCTTCCTCCCGATGAGCGTAGCCCCCCACCCTTGAGAAAACGGGGACACCCGGGCTGTCCCAGGCACAGAGGTCCCAGGGGACGGGTTCTGCGGTTTCCTCGCTGATTGGCTCCTCGGGGCCTCAAGCCCCGCCCCTCCGGCATCCCACGCCTCCGGCATCGGGTGCCCGCCTGACAGCAACTGCCTGTTCAGCTGAGTCGGCAAAGCCTGCGCTGAATTGGCACAGTTCTCAACTTTATCTACCAGCTCCCCTCATCCAACGTGGGGGTGGATTGGCATCAGCATCCTCACGCCCAGCCTACTAGGCACCTGTATTAGGTAAAGTTAGCCGCTCCAGCCCGGCCCGGTTCCCAGGCCGCCGCTGATTCGTGGCGCAGAAGGTGACCCATGGCCTGCAGGGTTGCTTGATAGAGATGCAGCTGGTGCGCACACGCTTAGTTTTGGGGCTCCCCGCACACCTTGCTGCAGGCGCAGCAATCACTTGACATGCCAGCGGTCATCGGCAGCAGATCTTGCACGGATCTTGCTGGGCGCTGGCAGGTGGCAGAGAAATCCAAACTGGATGCTGCGGACTCTTTAACCACAGAGCCACCTGACAGTCCCTGATTTACCCTTTTGAGGGCGTGGGGTTGGGGGCCCCACAAGCAGAAGTGCACAGGGGTTACTTCCAGCAAGAAGCTGGAATGTTCTGGAGACTACAGGATCAGGCATCCAGTCCAAGCCTTCTAAGTACTTTGAAAGGAAGTATGAAACATAGCGCCAGAAGAATCAGGATGGAAAATACTGTTAAGTGATATTGTTGCACCCATGTTTGCTTGAACTCAATGAAAGCTGCAAAAACTAAAGTAGGAAATGGATAGGAAGCTTTATTCGTGCATCATTCACTGTGCAGAGGATCAGAACCTCCAGCCTACAACAAATAACTCAAAGATTAGGATCATGTTT